AAAAATTCATCACATTTGCGTCAGATTGTTTACCGAGTTTCTATTGCACATCCATTTTAATCAAATTCATACGCATCAGAGAGAACCGTGCCGTTCCTTCGGCTATCGACGAGAAACGAATCGAAAACAGATCGATCGAAAAATTGTTTTTCTCTTGCCGGGAATGCGAAACTCGTCGGACATCGAAATAAACGAAATAATTGATAGATCGTCGCGGCGGAACTAGCGCGTCGGATATACGATCGCAATTTGTACTATTTCTCTGTTGGCGTATCGTAACGTGTGTCACGGAACGTGAAAATATTCGCACCGATAACCGATGAATGGAAACTTTTCGCAGCAGAAGCTCGGGAAAAGCACTTAAATATACGGTCGAATCGATATTTATTTAAAAATTCACACAGCGTTTCTTTCACCGGAATAAAATTTCTGCAATTACAGAGTAGAATAACAAATGTAACTGGTATATTTTTAAAATACGTATATTTCCTAATGATTTTTACAAACAAACGGTATATTACGATGCTTGTCATGATGATGCTTTTCGCGACTTCTAGTGAAACGAGAGGGTAAAAAATGACGAGTTTGAAAACTTTCGAGAGAAACGAGAGACGAACAGAATCTGGCATCGTAATAGCTTTTAATCCTTTCACACTGCCTATATACGGCACTGTATTTCAACAAGTTATCACATTGCCATTACAAGCTATTCGTAAGCAGCGTTTTCATTATAAACAATAATTTCATTGAAAGTACGTGTCGCAAATTTAAATTTTCTGTAGTTTAATTTTGAATTTTTATATCAACGTCTATATTTTCGACTTCTTTTTTCGCGTAGAATCACACCCTTTCCGCTTGTACCACCAGTTACCAACCACCCTATATAATCTTCCTGCTTATAGTTTAAAAAATAAACCAAAAATTACCTACATTCAATTCATCGATTATATTTCTTCGACATCGTCGTTAATTTCCAGTTTTTCAACGATCCTTACACAGAACCTATTGCCAAAGACTTATAACGTCGGTGTTAACGAGTTTCCTTGTGTGTTCAAAAAGATAACACCCGCGAACACTCATCGCAAAAGATCTTCATGCTCTGTCTATGTTCCAAGGTTTCCTGTTGGCAAATAGAATCTGTACAAGAGTACATCGAAGGCGTCATCCGAGGTAAAGGTATTTAGCCGGTCACGCGAGACATCGTGTCATCAAACAGCCAGTTAAATCGTAAAACGCGACGAAATCGTGTACTCGACGAATCGATCTTTCCGCGAGTAACACGATCTTCCACGTGATTCCTCGATAATTCGCTTGTACGTATATTTAAGTAATTAGATTTTCAGCTAATCGTCCATTAGTGTTGTAATCTGTGACACGAGTGTCAAGTATCTATTTTCATAATTTATTTCGATCTCTGCTTTCTGTTTTCTATAAAATTGATAAACACGTACCAACAACCTGCCACAACTACGATCCACTTTTAACGATTCTCGGAATGTTTAGATTAGAAGAGCGTAGGCTCGTTGCCGATGTTGCCCATTCGCCATCAACTTTGTAAACTGTTATATATCATATTGGTGGGAAATCTTCCAGCTATTAACACTAAAACTATCGATAGTTAACACGAAGCTATTTCTACCCAAAACCAGTCAAAATGACTGGTCTTAAAAAAGTACGTAATAATAGAATATTTTTATATTTATTGATTCATTACTTTCCTACAAAAGGAATTCCATGTTATGTAGTACATTTTTGGTATTAATCCATCTGCGACTACGATTCCTAAACGAGGGTTGGCACATTAATAAAATTGTCGAACCAGTCATTTTGACTGCTGTGGTATTTCTAGTCTTAGCATCTAGCGATCGATCCGGAATTTTCCTGCTAACCGATATCATCATATCGAACGATACGCAGTAAAAATTTGAAAAATGTGTGTGAAGTTGCACAAAACGAGGAAACTGGTTAATTGGGGTTCGATAAATAGATTGCAGGACCCTTTTACATTTTAACCAGTACCAGTCAAAGCGACTGGTATTAGTATAAATAGCCTAGATACAAAATTATTTTCAGTTTGAATACACAAAGAAGAAAATAAAATTCATTATATTATTCTTTTAGTTATCGTTGCGAAAATCATTACATCATTGCGGGAAAAAATATAACATAAAGTAAGAATTTTAAAATAAAATTGTAAAACCAGTCAATTTGACTGGTGTGGTAGTTCTAGTGTTAGCTCGTTCGAGGATTCTCAGACGATTTCCTTCGTTCTGTACATCCACCCACAGGACCAACTATGTTCCAATAGTTGTATTAATCGAATACGTATATGTAAACACGCCAACTCACTCGTACATCAGTTGAACTTTTTGTGAATCGTTGCCTACGTTTAAAAAACATACGAAAGACACTTTATATTCGTCTTCATTTCCATGGCGTGCATGACTAATGTTATATTTTTGTTACATGTTGGTATATTCGTTTAGCCAATAACAGTTGTATCCAAAGTAAAAGGTTTATTTTCAAAACGCTTACAAACGAACGATCGAATGAATAAATAATTTTACCTCGATGGTATTTATTTACTATCGAGTAATCAATGTTATTTTATTTTATTTTAGTTGCTTTCTAATATTGGGTAATATTTAGTTACTGGTTTAGTCATTGGGTAATATTTACTGGGTAATATTTAGTTACTTTCTAATATCAATAATTATCATCCAATAAGAGTTTTCGTATGTTTCGACGTACTGAGGTGAAGATTCATTTAGAAAATGAAAAATATTCTTTAACGCGATTGGAAATTGTTTGCGACACGTTCTTTTTTTTGTGACATTTCACCTTTTTAGATAGCCCTTTTCGATGTATCAAAGTTTGAAAATAATCGCAAATTCCGACTAAATTGTAAAGTATTACCGATTATAGAATAATTTCAAAGAAATTTTATTTTTGATATCTGTACATTTGTGCATTTTAGCATGTCGTTCTATATTTTTGTACATTTATACTTGCCATAAATGCACAAATGTCAACAAGTATAATTCTCGGAAGCCTTTTCGTAAATCATAGCTCCCCATTGCTTGAGATAAATCCACGAAATATCGTACGTTCGATTTGTACACGAAACTTGCTAGTTCCTCGATTTCCTCGGAGAAAAATTCCTAATGCATATTGCGGTAAAAAGGGGGGAAAAACCGAGTCGCAAAATTCCAGCGAATAGCTTTCATGATTTTTTGCTTTTTTATAATACTTTTATGTTACGCTTGCAAAATGGTCCTTTTGGTACTCAAAATTTTATCATGCGGTTTTCCTTTCCTTTCCTTTTTCTTTGTGAAAGAAACGAGTAAAAAGAATTCGATTACGACAGTGATCGGAATTAAAAGGATTTTTATTGGAACAGAGAGATATAAATTTGTCATGGGAAGACAGATGGTTTTTCAATTGTGATAAAATGAAATGAAAATTGAGAAAACGGCCAAATTTCTAGCGAACGTAAAGTTATAACACTCGTTGTATATTCTCGGAGGCTGCGAGTTATTCAATTTTTATAACGAATTTTCGATCATTGGGAGAAAATTATACGTAAAATAATTCCTTCTCTAGCTGTTATTTATTATGCATACCTGAACGTTTATTAATATTAAATAAACCGTAATGTTAAATACGTTGACCAATGAAAAAGATCTCATTGTGTGGAATTTCATACGCATAATTCAATCTCATAATTCCTTCTGATACCTACATATGCGTTTTTGTATCGAATATCAAAATCTCATTTACGATCCTCCCCCTTTTGTTTTATTCGTAATTTCATTTCGAAAAATGAATTCTTATCCTACGCCTACATATTTATCTTTATTGTTCAAAATAAAATACCTTACACATCATAATATTATTACGACATGTATGGTTGCCCTGCTGACGCAATATTATACTTTTTTCCAGAATGCTGAGTGTCTCTTGCATGATATTATTATCGAAATTTTGCGAAAATTCTCTCACGAAATAGAATCAGTCAAATAAATAAAATTTCGAAATAATGGAAATTTCGTAAATAGAATAAATTTTGCAAATTACTAGTCTACTAATTACTAATCTAATCTATTAATAATATGTGATATAATATGTACATTTATATAACACTGAATTTACTAAAAATAATAGTTAATATCTCCATTTAATGGAATTCTTACTCGAGACCTTTAACGTATTAAGACTTGTAAGCGGAAAACTTCCCTTTTCGAAATAAAGATAAAATTTTCCAATTGAAACTTCCCTATATACAATCATACTCTCAATGGTAATTATATTAAAACACCATCAATCTTAATCAATTCACTGCTTTTCGAAGAATCTCCTAAAAAAGACTTATTATTCCATATTATCAATTTTTATTATTTCTCTGCATAAAAAACACGTCCCTCTAGCGGGTATGCACTTAACTACAAAACACAAGCAGATACAAAAACGCGCGCTTTTTGTCACCCGCCATATTTACTTCCTAAATCACAGTCAATAATCAAATTGAAGTCAATTGGGACCAAGGATACAAGCGTTGGAAAAAAACTTGTCAACAAACAGACGGGACAGGATCACACGACAAAAACAAACGAACGTGCATTATGGAATCGTTAAACCGTTATAGACTCTACATAGAGAAATATAACCGTACATTATTAATATAAATTATTGATTTATTGCTAAAATCCGTATAATTGTTTCGCCCATTGTCAGTCAAATATATGCTGTTATTAACAATTACGTCGCTAATTTGTTAAAATACAAGTTATATTGGTTTGTCGATGAGGATCTTAAATCTAGAAAATATCTGCGAAATACATATAATTGTTTCGCCCTTCGTTGATTTAACAGCATTGTGCATTTTCGCTAATATAAACACGGTATGCGTGGTAGGCGCACGTGTTCCGGGGGAAACAATAACAAACACGGTTTCGACTAGTTTCGAGTATCAAACTACAAAGTAAAACGTTATCACTTACCACATACGATACGTTCGGCGTCACACGCGCTGTTTTCCTTCCATTCTTCTTCCCACTAGACCAAAGAAGCGAGTCTCTTTTCTTCTCCGATCGAAAAGCCTCCTTCTTCGATCAAAAAGGAAGCGAATTATGTTCAAAAAGCACGACAAGTAAAGTCTTCGTTCGAACGAGATATCACACGAAATATGTATGTATATAAACGATACAAACGATACGAAAAAACACACGAGTACGAAATCACGGAGAAACTTCGAACTAAAATTAATGTTAAAAATTTCCAACTATTAAAGTATTGATTTTCACGGAGCGTTACACGGTTATGTTCATTGTTTTATGTTTTGATTCGCGGTTATTGGACCGTACACGTTGTTCGTCGCGCGTTTATACCGACGACGATCACCGTAACACGTGTTACTTGGTCGACTGACAAACCTCGACTGCCGCCCCAAAGCCAGGATCGCTTCGTGCTATCCCCACCAATGCGCGCTTCCCCCACGCCAAGGGCCCATGACTTCAAACATTTGCATATGTAAGCTTCCTTGAGTTTGGCTGCCCTTTGAACCTTCAGGGTGGAATAAAGTTTGGCTATCGAAACATAACTCGTAAACGTGAAATCGTTTTTCTGTGTTTGACTGTCTAGCTTTTTCCAGCGACTTCGATCTCGTGGAATATTAAAATATAGGAAATAATTTTCAAGCACGTGAATTTTTACAAGCGAGGTACCTGTGCATGTTTTATACTCTGTAGTAAAAATATTAAATTGTAAAATGGTTCGATTTTAGAACAGATACGACGCGAACTACCATTGCATGACCTCTGTCAAACATAAAAGCGCGTACAACTCAGATGCCAGGCTATTTTTCAGCTTTTGTAAAATAGATCGAGATGAAACACACGCTGTGTTCTTGCCCGGACACTAAACTACGCAATAGAGGAAAACAGACAAAAATTCCAAAAATTAGATTTTTCCACTCCGTAGCTTATCAACTATCTCTAGATCACTGTTTTGCTCCTTTTTATTCAATGCACAAATACAAACCTTCTATTGTTTTGTCACGGTATTAGATAGATACTATTCAATGTACAGCCTTATACTATCTTATTGTACGTATAGATGTCTTGGTGTATGATTTCTTTGCCAATTTTCTTTTTTTCTCTGTTAGGTGAGAAGCTTGTGGTTAGTAGCTTCTGTAGTTTAAATTACGGACGACTCTGAGATAGATGATACTATCAAGAACTATTGCAGACTGTTATTATATGACTATTATAGAATGCTTGTAGCATTAGAGATGGGTGGTCATGTCAGAAAAAGATATCAAAAACCTGGTAATTTGTGGTTTCTTTAGTAATTACACAGTATGCGGATATCGTATATAATTAAATTAGTTCTATAATTCAATTAACCTTGGTGAACGTTAATAACACTTTGCTGTAATAATATGTGAGATGGCAATATTATGGTAGTATTATAATCAAAGGCAAATTGCATAATTTCTAATCTTCGGTTTAAGCAACAAGTGATATCATATAATAGTGACATTTATAAATATTCTACAAGTTTTCTAAGTCTGTTGAAAGCCCAGAAGATTAAAAAAATTGGGCTTAGAATTAAAACTGAAATTGAAATTCAAATTAAACTTCGTTACGAAAATAATTTTCCTTTGCTGAACTGAAACTATAGTCCCAACATTTTAATAATGATTTACTATGATACTATATATTTCCATTCAAAAGCGATCCAACTGTTAAAATTGAAGAGGCCCGTCCTGTTCAAATTTTCTGCGCGAAATAAATCCAATGCCAAGAGATTGAAATTATTCATTTTTCTACGTCATCCACGAACAATATACAAAATACATCATGGTAAAAAATTAAGTATAAAATTTCACGGTAGGGAAAACAACGGAATAATTACAATGCCAATCAGTTAACCGGGTCATGTTAGAATTTCCATCGTACACAGAATTAATACTTTACAGGAATAAACTGATTTTAATGAAATCGATATTAACTTTAAGAAATGTAATAATTATATCACTAATAACTTTGGCTTTCTGATAATCTCTTATAATAATTATTGTGTCTGTATCGTATAATAATAAGTAATTAACAAGCAAAATAAAAGTCATAAAAAGACAGTGATCGCTAGCTTTCATTTAATTACAAAGAAATCGATAATCAATCATTATCGGCATCGTACGAAACGTTCTGCCGTACCATTAATCGAATTGAATTCCAATTGAAGGGAGAAGATATTCCTTTTGAATGTTGCGATACCCGGAAACAATTCAGTAAATTGACGACTATTAGCCAAAACGAGCACACATCTGATGATTTTCCGATGATCAAAGGCCTCCTCTGTCCCGATTCGCATTTTCGACGATGCAACATCAACGATAACTATTCTAGAGAAATTCAGTGACGCGTGTGCATTATGCAATGCATTTCCGGATGTGGCACTTTCAAACCGCAGATAGCTTGTTAAAACTTTCATGTGGAACCGTTTCACCTCTGTAAAATTATTTTAACGCGTTTGATACGTTTGTTGTTGAATCTGCGAAATAAAATGTTAAATGAAACACACGCTGCTTTTAAACTGTAGCAGGATAGATACTCGTTCTTGACGGCGTGTCAAATCTTCAATTACGAAAATTACGAAGATAAAAACGAGAGCCTGGAAAAAACATCGTCTTCTATAGTCAGAATGCCTAGTTGAAGTCAGCTTTAACAGCGTATGAGAAAAGATCAACTGTCGATATTTTGTAAATCGTAGAAAAAACTTAAAACTGTAAATCGTAAAACTTTTCATACTGTTACTGTAAATCGACCAAATTCCAAGTATACGAGAAGAATTCATTGATTAACCCTGTTCTTTCAGACATGTTCAGCCCAATAGTATCTTTCAATATTGAAAAACATTTCAAATACGAGCAAGAAATGAGAAGATCGTTATCGGTATGCGTGACTCTTCGTCTCAATTTTACGTCAAACATTTTCTTAAAACGTTACAAATCCTTTTTGTTACTAGAATAAGAGAAAGATCGAAGTATCAAAATTCCACATTAATTTTCATAATATCCTATCCCTGTAGAATCCTCCGTCTCTCTGGAATTTCCAACTCAAGTTCATTTATTATATGATCTACCTTAAATTTGTGTTTAAAACGTACGAAAACAGTTTACCTAGAATCCCCATTTAAAATGCCTGCTCGGTTTACATGGACTTCAAATAAATCGATGCCCTCGGCAAATTCTGCGAACTGAAGGTTCGTAATATCGTAGATATAACAAGGAATTCCGCAAATTTAGGAAATCAAAATTCCTCATTTAGGAACTTGGAGAGCGAAAAAAGCCGGAAGGTTATTGATTCGTTGAAGTATCGCGCAGAAACTGTAAAGCTTCTGTACAAAAAGAGTTGGATGTCATCGAAGGGGAATGCTACCAAAGGAATTTCTTCGTCTCGCGAAAGCTGCTTATTTATCGGAAGCTTTCTCCACGGTCTTCATCCTCGATCTAAGAACCACCAGTTATTAGAAGAATTTCTCGCGCACGTTCCACCAGAATTATCTAAGTACTTTAATTTATTTGCTCTCAATACCTTTTAGTCCTCCTCGTTTCGTTTCCTTCGTATTTCGATCATAGAGAAACGTCACTTAACTTCGTTTAATATCGAACATTTACCTTCCTCGTTCTTACTTCAAATCGGACAATTTTTCTTTTTCATTCGACGCCCAGTATTTGCTTAACTGAGTATGTTGCAAAGAGTAAAAATATTGTACAGGGTGTAACAATACACGTGAGGCCCACTTCGGCAACTGAGTGTACATTTAAAAACAAGATGAAAGAAGATGCTCGGAAGACCATCTGGTGTTTCAAGGCAAATTTGTGGACGCCTTATCATGGATCCAATTATACTGCGAATGATTCCTGGTGTATCCCGAATTCGTTGAAAAGCTTGTTCTATTCTGAATCTTAGTATTGCTTAAATGTTGTGTTTATCACGAGCATATGATTTATGGTCCTTTTTCATTACAATTATATCCTCAAGCGGATTGCACACGTTCTGTTACACGCTGTATATAGGATGTTCGTGGAAAGTGGGCCAAAGCACAGCCTTACAACCAGATAGAAAATTGGTGAAAGTTTTATCAGATGGAATTGAATGGTTTCGAGTGATGTATCGTGCGATGAATACCGCCATTTATATGTTTTAGGAATTAGGGTTGTTAGAAGTGAGCTAAATTTCAGAAATAATCAAAATATTATACAATTTTTATTTAACAATGGTTGCTGATATATTATGTTCATACTATGTATATGTTCATGTATGTATCTCACAGATCTAAGATCTTCCTCTAGTATAAAAAACAACATAAAATTACTATCAATTCGCACTAGAATTATACGATTATATAGAAGATAATTTTATCTAAAAATTGATGAAAGTACCTATTGTTCAGACTGCAACAATCTTGTAGTAGAGCGATTATTACTTTAAAAATCAGAATATTACATTTACAGTATATAAAATGTAAAAATTGGGTTAATCATCCCGCCGTGTTAAGTCGAAAGGGCTTATCTGCAATTTTCGCTTAAATCGAATCATTGCTGTCGGGTAGCGCAAAAATTTATCTATGTGTATATTCAATGAGAAAGCGGTATCTGTATTGAAGATATAACGGTTCATATTTCGGACGTATGTAAAATCGATGGCTGATTGTCAAACACTTAAAAGTCATTTTTCCCCAAACCACTTTCTGAACAGATACGCCTATTTCAATTAAAACGGCAACATAAATCTTATCTTTAATTTCCAAATAAATGAGAAATAACGTTAAACTAAAGATATTGCACATAACTCATCTGTGTTAATTTCCTTCGATCAAATATAAAATAAAATACGTTGCGATCTTCTCTCTCTCTGACATGCTACGATCCCTCTACGCTACGGTCCACTAATCCCTCATCAAACTCGAAGGAATATCTTTCTGAAAATTCGCCTATTTTCTTCTATAGGCCGATGGATAGTCTGTGAGAATGCTACCAGTAGAGAGAATCGCTCCAGGACGACCTAAGATTCCACCTTTATTCGCTAGCCAGCCATTTCCACCGAAGAATCCAGCTGGTTCCAATCTATCCGTGTAAAAGCCAGAATCGCTTACACTCGCGACATGTAGCAAATTGTTTGCGTTATTCAATTGCTTTCCTTTCGAGTCGTTACGATTTCCAAGTCCAAGATTCTTCAGCGCTTCCTTGAGCTGGCTGACACGGTTCTGCAGAGTTTGGGGGTTGATCTGCAGATTCTGAGTCAATGGCGCGAGGAACCAGGCGAGTAGGCTTGGTTTTGACGTGCTGTTGGTGTCAGACTGAAAATTAATATCAGGTAGACTGTTCATTGGAATAGCGAAACTTGACTCGATGATCGCAACGAAGAATTTGGA